ATAGACAGAACCCGCATGTATTTCACTGGTAATAATTGAAAACTAATTTGTGTGTAATTTCAATTCAAAAATGTTCGCGAAATATGTTGAATTAGAAAATTTACTGATTAAAAATTGTTATTAAGATTTTGTTTTCATCAAGAAAAACCTCATTTCAACTTATTTTACAATTTAAGATTCATAATTGGGTTAACTCATTTGTAATCAAATCTAAATTTTGTTCACCTTAAAATATTGAGTGAGAGGTTTTACAAATTAAGGAAACATCAAATTTGTTTTAAAAAAATTCCATGACAGTTTTTTTTTGAATGGCAAAATTATAATAAAACGATTTGAGAGCTCTAGGTGTCCTTTTCGCAAGGGACCTGCTTATTTTCAAGGGACCAGTCTAGCATAGTGGCAGTAAACTATTCAGTATTGACTCGATGGGTTTTCGATGGGTATTATTAGTTAGCAAGCGGGGAAACCGATTAAGAATGCTCATAATGGAGTGAAACTTATTTGATGATTAATTCTACATTGAAGAAAAGTTCATGCAGAGTTTTTGACGTTATCTACAAACTTTGATGTTCTCACCTCCCTTTTTGTTATTTTAGGGAAAGAAAGCGTGGGCCATCACTACTCCTGGGGCTATTCTGTCCACGGAACTGATGGAACAGAAGTCCAGGAACTTCCAAGCTATGCTGGTGGCATTAGATAATAGGGAGATCCGGATATACAAGGAAAAATTTCTGGTCGGAATCCTGGACACAGGAGATTATAACGTGAGAATATTGAACTCTTAATTAAATCGAGAGGATTTTTTAAATGTGCAAGCTACTATTGCCATGTTTTTTATTTGAAGCATCAATCCGATTGGTTTTAAGTCGCGTTTATTATTGCATAGGTGGTTGCGATGCGCTTTGGCCAGTTCGGGCGGGAGGACGGCTCGCTGATCACAGTCAACTCCAACGGGGCTCTGAAGGTGCAACTGCTCCGCCGAGTGGCCAAGTTCAATGAGAAGGAGGTGCTTGCAGGAGCCCCTCCAGAACAGAGTGTCCGACTCAACATCCCCAAGAAGACTAAGTTGTATGTGGACCAGACTGTGAGGGAACGCGAACATGCGACTGGTTAGTATGGTCGGATCCATATTTTCAAAATGATATATGTGCAAGCTGATGTTGCTATCCAGGGTGATCTTCGAACAGTAAATTTCAAACCTCGTTAACTCAACAATAGTAATTATCCGCTAAAAGCATCAAATTGGGAAGTTGGGTGTTTGAAACGGTTGTTAAGGGCACGCAGAGGGCCTTTGCCAAATGACACATTTTTTGTTGCTAGTTGAATTTGTATGCGTTCATTTACAAAATTGTCGATAAATAGAATATAATATAAAAATTTACTTCCAAGGCGTTTTAAGCCATTAGTTGACCGGTAAAAGATTGGTCGAATACGTATCGTGAAATACGCCCCAATTGTTAAACTTAGTAAAGCAAAATAGTAAAGCAAATTACTTTGAATTGTTTTTTTTTGTGTTTCAGAGATCTACCGTACGTTCCAGCGTGATCTAGTGAAGTTGAAGTTGACAGTGGCGCAGAACTATCGAAAGGCACTGGACAAGTCCCTCACCCCAATGACACAGAGCGAGGAGGCCCCTCTGAAACTATCTGCTCAGGTACATAATTTCATTGGATTTCATATCATGTTAAAATCCTTATCGCCATCAAAAAATTTAGATGTTGTTAAAATTGATAGTTTTTAACCAATCAGAATCGAAATTGAATATTTTACACACATCTTCCAGCAATTTTGCTCTTATCTAGTTTTCTGATTATTGTATTTGGATGACGCCGTTCATTTGCTCAGCATTTATGTAATAATAATAAGTTGTCAATGGTGGATTAAAATTTAACAAGACTGTAGATACACTGCTGTTTTGAGTCGTTTGATGTACTGACCAGGCTGCTCAAACTAGTCACTTTAAGTGACCTGGTCACTTTTGGTCACTTATTTTTTCTAGGTCACTTTTTGTTGAAACTGTTGTTGACGAGAGTTTTTCCAGATAAGATCATGGGACGACCCTGCCTTTGTACTATTTTGAGATATCCACTTTTGACTGACTGGCCTTAAAATTTTTCTAAAGGTGTCTTGGGCGCCAATCTATACTAATTCTGAGGGGGAAGCGCGCGCCGAAAAAACGTGATTTTTTTGGTCGAAATTTTCCAAAAAGTGCCTAATAACGCCTTTTTTGACATTTTGGTTAAATTGCGGTCTTTATAGTGGTTTGGGAGAGGCTGTAAAAATGGTAGGTCAGTTTTTTTCTCTGACCGATTTGAGCAGTCTGGTACTGACTCATAGGGACAATTCAAGTTCTTATGAATTCAACAATTTGGTTTATCTGGCAACATCTTAAAAACTAAAACTAATTTAGTTTTTCGATTTGGTGGGAGCTGGGCCGGGTGCTAGTAACAAAACACTTCTGCTATTTTCAGGTGCAGGGCATTGGTCCTTTGTTCAAATTGATTCTGGGAATACAAAACACCTCTGCGAACAAGACACTGGAAGGACTGTTTGTACTCTTCAGATATGACCACTCGCTATACGATGTCAAACAGAAACTCATACGGGTGTGTAGCGAGCAATAGGAAGATACTGCGCCTTTCAGGGCTAATGTTTATTTTTGGCAAAAGAAGCTTTTGATAAAGCTATAAATTGATTTTTGATATTTTATTTTTAAGATCCACACACCCTTCCAACAAATATCAAGGACTAAGGGTTATAATTTCAGTCTTTTAGGGATGTAATGGGACTAATTCGCTTGCCTCAAATCAATTTGCATTACTTTTTGAGTGCGGAATAAATCACCGCACTTGAATCAGTCGCACTCACGAGTTGACCTTCAAAGATCAATTCTTAAAAGCGCGCATAAGTTAGTCCATTTTGGCCAAATTCCAAACCCTCAGAACTTGAAGTTAATTGAGAAAAAAATATATTTTTACTTTCAAGATCAAGGAGTCGGTATTTGCACTGAAGTATAAGACGTTTTCATTATACTAGCGTCAGCTTAGTGTATGATTATGAACCTTCCTAAGTCGCAAGTATTGTTGCCACTTTTGGGACACATATACAGCTTTTTGATAGCATGTGCTTTGACATTCGAATAGTTAACACATTTGATGCAATTTTAATTCATCGAATGAACCGAAAAAAAACTATTTGTTTCAAACAACAACAATAATAAAAACTCGATTTCAGAAATTTTCTAACTCAATATATCTCGCAATTTTTTTGAAATGCACAATGTGGTTTTATGCTCTGCGATTTTTTACATGCAAAGTTTGTGTGCATGCCTTCAGTTTGTTATATTCCAAATTATTACTTGCGAAATTGTGTCTTTTTGTATTAGGTGCCACTTGTGCTGATTAGATTGGCAGTTTATTAACATATGTGGCTGCTTTATTCGTGACTAGTGTCGGTGGTTAAGCGTGATTGGCTGAGTGGTTAGTGCGTAAGACGCAAAACCTCTTGATTGCAGTAGGTCTCAAATCGAATCCTAGACCTAGCGAGGCTTATTTCTATTTTATCTTATTGCACTTTCTAGAGCTGTTTTTTGTTGTGTTCTCGCTGGTGTTTGCGATGCGAAGCTTCGACTCTATGTTGACAATTATTATATCGATGACCGAAGATGGTCTGAATAAAGAAATCACCGCGGGCTTTTTCTCTTCGAAAGTCGGAACAGCAAGCAGGGCTTGTGTTTTAAAACGAGTCCTTTTTTCCAAGTAAATAGCAGTTTTTGTGCAAAATTGTTTCATTTATATTTACTCAACCTGATTTATATTTGCTTAATTAAAGATAAATATATTGCTGCCTGCTCTATTAGTGTAACATGCTTGAAAGTAGGTGACATATAAATCACCAACCATGCAAACTGGCCGAAAATACTAGACTTCACATCATTATTATAACACCAGCGAGCTAGCGAGAATAGTGTTATCTTACGAATCTACTTTTTTCTAACCGAACTCGCAAATAAAAAGTTCTCATTTAGTAAGACCATTATTGCAAAGCATTGGCAATTTTATAGCGTCTGCTCTATCGGCTTTATTGGTGGCTAGTGTTTGCCTATTTTCAAACATATATGGGGCAGATGCGAGACCGCTAGAATCATAATCTCCAGGACGGGGGTTCGATGCCGACACCTAGTTAAGAGTAATCACCGTAGTGAAGACTCTTATATAGGGCTTGCTGATTTTTTTTTAACGCCAGTCATAAACCATTCTAAAAATTCAAAGAGCTTAAAGGGCATCTATTTTTTTAGTTAAAATTCGAAAGTTGAGATTTTTTCAACAAAATCAGTGTTGTTAAGAGTAATGAACGTAGTGATATATAGGTCTTGCTGATTTTTTTTGTTTTTTTTTCAGGATCACGCTCAATTTTGATTTTTTGCGGTTTGAATTGTGATTTATTTTCAAGTCTAGTGCATTGTTAAAAGGAATGCAAACTCCACTATCGAACAGCAAAAGTGTAAAGGTCACGAAAAACGAGATCGACTTCTAGTTTCGAAAATGGAAATTAATTATCAGGTTTTCCAGCGAAATATAAGTTTTGCCTATTGATAAAGCTTTCTCAAATTGGGTTAATTTTAACAAAAAAGTGTCATTGTTCTACAAGTTCAAAGAGCTTTAAGGCCATCTATTTTTTCTTCGAAATTCAAAAGTTTTTTTTTCAGGTTCCTTGCGTTCATTAGTCTTTTCCAATCTTCGATTGGTTATGTTTAATATTTATGTTTCAATGTTTTGTTGGAATAGTTGTTCCATTTTAGCCTGGGATGTTGGTTCCTGGCCTGGACTACAAGTTTGAGTCCTTCGTGCAATGTCTCACCCAGCAACCAGTCTCAGGTGACATCGAGGTACATTTAAAGATTTTAGTGGTTGTGTTTTACCAGCGAAGTTAAATCACAACTTATTCTTCCGTTTTTTGACAGTTTGAGTTTGATTTTTTCATTTGAACTACGAAAGTTGATTAATTGAAGAAAACCCAATGTTTCGGCTTTTTAATTTACGCTTTTCCACCTACCTGTTAGCTATGAATTTGAGGTTTCCGGCGCAATTTTAAAAAATGTCTATTGATGCGGTTTTTGTCAGATTTTTTTATAGAAGAAAGAGCAATCATGAAATCATTGTTCAATTTAATCAGCTGTAAGACAATGCATGCATTAGGTAAGGTTCTTAAATTGACAAAAAAAATTGACAAGTGTGACAACTGACTATATTTCTGTCGCCCCAAGTTCATTCAAACTTCGGGCTTTATTTTGGCTAGGTTCAGGTATTTTGAAAAGTTCTCCGGAAAATTGAATTGTTACACCGTAATAACTCCATTAAAAACTCCATTCTTCTTTTCTGATTAAATGGATTTCTCCGTAAACGTTTTTATGTAGTAGGGATACTTGAAAGACCCAAAAGAAAAATAAATACTGAGAATATGACCCTTGTGTTTTTCTGTTTAGATACTCGTTGGCATGAAGGGCAATCCTAACCCACTGGTTGTAAATGTTATTCAGATGCCGATCAGCGAAGGAAATCTGTTTTAAACTTAGCTTAAATTTTTCATAGCAATATATGCCAAAATTCGTGTATCTGATCATCTCTTGTAATTTAAACTGTAAATGTGTGAATAAGTTATAAAAAAATAGCCTGTAAAAATACAATTTTATCGAAAATTTGTTTTGACGTTTCTAGTGTTTATATTTTGAAACTAGTTCTGCTGTTCTCCAAACTTTTAGGCGCAAAAATGGTTCTTCCCAGTGTTCCACTCCCGCGTAAAATTACAAAATTATGTTAGAAAATTTTGACTTTTTTTAGGCCGATCAAATAGATTTTCCGAGCTCACCTAAAGCACCAAAATGACGCTGTTTTTGCCAAATTTTCTGCGCCGCAGGCAAATTTTTAAAAAAGCAGGTCAAAGAAATCGTTTTTGTGCACTTTTTTTTGAAAATTTTGACCAAAAAATCCCGATTTCTTGGCGCGCGCTCCCCCTCAAAATTGGTATAAATTGGCGCCAAAGGCGCTTTTAGAAAAATTTTAGGTTTCGTCACTAAAATCGATTTCTCAAAATAGTACAAAGGGAGGAGCCATTGGGCCGGCAGGGGGTCGAATCTGATCCTTTTTTGACGCGGAAATATTACAGCTTAGAACATTCAAAACAATTTCAATTAGCTTTCTTTAAGCAAAACGCAAAAATCATCAAGGAGAACTAGAAAAGAGCCAAAAAACTTGTCTAATTTTCTTTTTAAGACTTGATGAATTAAGTTCACTGTCATATAGGTTAAAATGATTTTTTTTTTCGTTTTTTTAATGAAAAATCCTCAAAGTTGTCCATAGACCAATTTGATTTTTGAAATCGAAATTTGATTTCTTTTTGAGCTCAGTTCCTTCACTTTATTAAAAGGAAAAAACACTCCACTACCGAACATCAAAATAGTGAAGGTAACGAAAAAAGATTTCGACTTCTAGCTTCGAAAGTGGAATCAAATTTTCAGATATCCAAGTGGAATAAAAACTTTACCCATTAAACCAGTGTTCTCAAATTGAGTTGACTTAATTGACAAGTTTAACTCATGATTTTTCTTGAAAATACAAGAGATTCAAAGCCATATAGTTAGAGCCAAGAGCTTGACAGCCGTTTTGGCTTTAAATTTGAAGTTTTTTATAAAAAAAAGTGGCTCTTTTCAGTGTCTGTGTGTTCACTGACTCTTTTTCAACGGTCTGTTGGCCACGTTTTTCAAAGGGCGATTGAATAAATACAACAATCTGCATAATTTAGAATTAATCCTGTTAAAATTTTTTGAAATTTCACTACAAATGATTTCAGTGTGTATCGTAAAACTTACAAAATTCGAAATCTTAGACGATACTTAACGTTAAATGACGTGTAGCGGTTTAGTCTAAATCTTACGTTAAATTAGGTGTGAAACGTTATCGTTACGTGTAACAGTTACACGTTGGGCCCGAATAGGCACTAATACGCTCTCTGACTTAACGTGAATTAACGTTCGAAAATAACCTTATTTAACGTTAAGTCAGGTTATGAGCGGTTAACGTGATTGAACTAGTTTTGCAATGATACACCTAATTTGACGTAAATTAAGATTAAATCAAGCTCAATTTGGTTTAATTGAGTAAATCAGTTCTTAGCGCTACACCTAATTTAACAATACGTTAGGTTAAATGACGTTAAATGGCTTCAGAACTCTATACGTGACTTAACGTCAAGTTAAGCTAATTGAATTTGAACGGCTTCAAATCGCCGCGATCAGCCTTACGTTGCTTAGCGTTGCTTAACGTTAAATTAGGTCAAAAAAGGTGATCCGTTTAACGTTGCTTAGCGTTAAATTAGGTTGAAATATGACGATCCGCTTAATGTTGTTTAACGTTGCTTAACATTAATTTAGGTTGAAACATGACATTGCTTAACGTTATATTAGGTTTTAAAAAACGATCCACAAACCTTTTTTTTATCCTAATTTAACGTTGCGCAAAGTCAAAGAATGTTATGCAGATCATCACATTTTAACTCAATTCAACAAATTGATTTCAGTTAAAACATGCCGATCTGATCAACGTTGATTAACGTTGCTCAACATAAAATTAAGTAAATGTTGTATAAAAATCATGGTAGCAAAAATAAATAAATTGTATAGTCAGACTGGTGAGAAATCAGAGAGGTGAGTATAAAAATTCCAGCAGCACTATAGAATCATGGATTGCACAATTCCGAAATGAAAATGCAAATCAAAATACGAAATTGGCCAAATGAGTTTGAGTTTTTCGAAGAATTTCAGAGGCATTTGAGTTCATTTTTGAGATTCTAGTGTTTCTTCATCATCATCAGAACCGGAATCAAGCACCACTAATGGATCTTGGTGGCTATGACCGAGATCTAACGTTAATTTAGGTAAAAATACGATAAATGAAACAAATTTTTGGGTTAACTTCTTAACTTAACTTAGCTTTGAATTAGGTGTAGGTGGACTATTAGGTTCAACTCAGCTCCCGTTTTTGGTTTAACTTTGTTGAATGTCAATTTAGGTTTAGTTACGTTAAAACAGCACAAATTTCTGTGGTTTCGCTGGTGTGGTACATAGTTCGCTCTGAATTTCCCGATATCTCATTTTTGCTAAAAATATGTCTCGGGTATATTTTTCTCCTTGGCTTCCGGCCAGCCACAATTGGCACCCTGGTCTGCGAGACGAGAGAAGAAACCATCCAGACTCCCTTTATCTCCCTGTGTCGAACTGGGGAGTTACATTCGTGTCATGAAAAATGTGTTCTCTTTCCTGAATCATAACCCTCACATCTCATGGAAAACTTCGAAAATAATTGTATTGATGTTTGTATGTGCAAAATTTTGCATGCGTTTTTTTCTTTCCTTGATTCCAAAAAAAAATAATCGGGATTTTACTCGGTTTTTGGTTTCGGGATAACATACGCGTAGGCTGTTTATACAACACTTTCCGTCGTTCATCATTTGCTTCGTTCGACTTTCTGAGCGCGGCTGAGCTGCAAGCATTACGGTTGGTTGTCTCATCCGCTGTCTCGGTACTGGAATGATCTCCAGTCTGGGCGTTGGGTCATCGAATACAAGTTTCTTTTAAAGCTTGCAGGTAAGAAGAGTTGCCATAAAAGAGTTTCCATGGATTGAGGCTCCGAGGATGGTCTCGGTCAGAAAGGTGCCACTCCTAATGAGTCATTTGATATCTGAGAATAAGATGTACACAATTGGTAATGACATCGCTAGACTGTAGTCATTAAATGTCTATGATACCTTGTCTGACGGTCAAGAAAAAATTTTTGAAAGTTTTTTTTTGGTTTTAAGAAGTTTTTTTTGCTTCGGTTGAACTTGAGACGGTTTGTACACTGCATACTTCGAGCCAATCAATTTTGTTGAAGACCACTCAGGCGAGGGAGACGTTGAAGACAATTGTGCTGACGATTCTGCCACTTTTTTTTTGTTGACGGAGATTTGGTGACGGAGAGTTGACGGATATTCTACAAATTTCATCGAGTGTTTTAGGGGGATTCCCAGTGTTCCACTCCCGCGTAAAATTACAAAATTATGTTTGTTGATTCATAAAAAGTGCAATTATGTAATTCGCTCATACGAAAGTTTGGATTTAACAACTAAACTTCTGATCCACGGGCGGATCTAGGATTTTCTCGAGGGAGGGGAGCGGATTTTAAAAAAAATTTCGAAAATTTTGACGATCTTTTTTTTAGGTCAACCAAATTGATTTTCCGTGCTCACCTAAAGCTCTAAAATGACGCTGTTTTGCCAAAGTTTCTGCACCGCAGGCAAACTTTTGAAAAAACAGGTCAAAAAGTCGTTTTTGTGCATTTTTTTTGAAAATGTTGACCAAAAAATTGCGTTTTTTTGGCGCGCGCGGCCCCTCAAAATTAGTATATATTGGCGCTTTTAGAAAAATTTTAGGTTCCGTCACTAAAATCGATTTCTCAAAATAGTACAAAAGGAGGAGCCTTTGGGTCGGCAGGGGGTCGAATCTGATCCTTTTTTCACGCGGAAATATTACAGCTTAGAACATTAAAAACAATTTTAATTAGCTTTCATTAAGCAAAACGCAAAAACAATCAAGGCGAACTAGAAAAGAGCCAACTATCTGTTATAACCGCGAACAGAATTTGAAAAGCTTACTCAAAGCCATCGGCGCTTGGATGTACAATGCTGGTATTAATATTGCAATTGATCAATTTTTATTACAGTGAGAAACATTTTTCTCGACGTGAGCACAATCATTACGGGAAAATTTTTAAGTATCAATGATTGCAGTGAAAACAATTTCTCGAGTATAGGTTTTTCACGTATCCATTTTGTTTTTTTTTCCAGCTCAATTCAGTTTCGTTTGGTACATAAAATGGTAATACAAATGAATCAAAAAGGCAGGGAATTTATTCTGAATCAAGTTCGAGTTTTTGCTTTTGATTTTTTTTGAGTTCAATTCACTTTCATTCTCTATAAAAAGTCAAACTACATTCTCCAATTTTGACTGAACAAATAAAGCGAAAACAAACATGAGTTGATTGAGACTATAACGAGTCATGACTAGCGTGCGTTATCTAGTCGAAAAAAGACTTTTTCGGGCTATTACCTATTGAAACACAATCAATTGAATCATGTATAACCAATTTTTTACTAAGAGTTTGCAGTAGTACTTTGTACTTATCAAATCGAAAAAAGACTTTTTTTTCGTGTTAACACCTATTGAAACACAATCAACTGAATTATGTAAAACCAATTGTTTCCTAAAAGTTCATTGAGTTTAAACATGTAGATAGTTCTAAAACTCTGAATTAAATCTTTTCAATATTTTTCTTGGGTTCGAAAAAAGTCAACTGTTGCAAAACTTTAAAAAAATAACAAGAATAATCGGTTGCTGGCAGTAGCCGTCATAGCTCAGAGTTGCCTATGGCTTAATTTTGCATGGGGTGATTGTTAAAAAACGCTTGGGTGCAAAAATGAGTACTAGAAAAGTTCTACGGAAAATTGAATTGATACACTGTAATAACTCCAATAAAAACTCCATTCTTCTTCTTCTTCTCTAGTTGTTTGGAGTTTTCCGTAAACAGTTTTTATGTAAGAGTGGGGATGCATGAAAGACCCAAAAAAATATATACTG